AATGTTTTTTAGAGAGAGATCTTGAAGTTAAACAAGATCCTCAAAAATGAAGACAACCAACAAAGTAAATTGGCGCAATTGCTAGGCAGCAATAAAGCAGATGTGAGACACTTTTATTGTCCATTCCATAAGTGCGACAAGAACGAAGATTAAAATGGAGATACAGTTTTCTAGAATGGTTCCCAAATCGGCTGCGATAGTACTAATAAGGGTACTAATACTAACAAAATACAGAGTAAAATGTTTATACACTTTGTTTGCTTATATCCAACGATTATCAGTTCAATACTTTTGTTTAACATCCATTGAACTGAATAAGGTCCGAAACGAAAAATATTGCTAGATCTTTTATTGACTTTCATTGAACCGAGAGAGATCTGACGCTGAACTGCTTAAACTGAAAAATATTATTAGATTTATCAATACCATGAATAGTACCTTAGATCTCATAGATCGTCATAGATAGTATTGTTCCTTTCAATAATAATAAAACACATATTAGCATTGTAAAGTGACAACAACATTTATTTGACACACTTAAATGCTATCTTAATTAGCCAAGCTTAGTGAAATAACCTACTTCATGAGTAAATGAAAATTATAAAACAAATAATAGATAACTTAATTAGTTAAAAGAGATTACTAAATTTATGCACTTCAAATGGTTTCGTTTTATTTCTAAAAATTGACCAAATATTTAATCAAGTCACAATTTCAAATACATTAAATGGTGTTTGGTCATTAAATTCTACTAATGGGTGATAAATCTAAACTGATAAAGATTAAAAGGATTATATGGGTATCGAAGAGATTTGTTTTAAAATTAATACTTATCCTAACTTAATCTGCTCCACAAAATTTTAAATCATGTCACAGTTTCTTCCGAAAGTGGTTATGAACTGCCAAACAAAATAGTAGAGACCGTTTTTGACGGCAAGAGACTATAATAGATTACTTTATACTGAATTCTCTGAAGTTATAAATACACTTTGTTACTGAATGATATTTAAAAAAAATAATTAAAACTTTTCCGCATTTCATTAAGGAAACCGCCGGTATATTCCAACTTTTAATTCTCGATGTTATAAATGCAACATGACGTTTTATTTATTTGGAGGTCTATTAGACCCATCTTTTAAAACATTGAAAATCTGCTGTAGCTTTTTTTAAATTTAATGAAAAATAAAGTTTAACCAAAACCAAATTTATTGCCAAATATTCATATTTATCAGATCAGGTTTTTAGTCCATATAGATGGTAAAACTAAAGAAATATTTTAATTTAAATAAAATAGATTTTATAGCACCCGTATATATGAATATACAACATTTATATAAAAATTTAATATTATGTAATACGGGTACTATCAAAAGTTTTTAAATCATTGAAACAAAATATTTCATAATTAAGTGAAAATAGACAAACTACTTAAAAAAAAACAATTACACTTAATCTTGTATATAACAAGAACCACCTCTCTGATATTTATAGAATTTGAAGAATCAATCAATGGAGACTGAGTTCTTTAACAATTCTGGAACTTATTTCAAAATTTTACTAGAAAAAACAGCTCTCATATACTTTTATATAAATAGACGATGTGTTTAGGTGGATGATATTGGAGGGATCGCCAGAAATAACTAATACTAATGACATTGCTAATGTTAACTATGTTAAAACCATTAAAGACAATGAAACACAAATCTCATAAGTATAAGTTCAGTATTCCCTCTACATTCTTCACATTAATTAATATTTTACATTTTTAATTTATATTTATTTTATTTTATTATTTTTGAATATGAAAAATTATATTGCCAGTTTTTCTTTATATAGGTGATTCTAAGACCATTGATCGAAACTCAATGTCGGGGAATCCAATAATTTTGCGTAATTTAAGAAGAATTTTATTAATTCTTTTGTAAATAAAACTGCTCCATTAGAAATAGTCATAACCTATAAAAATTCCCTCTTTAAGAATATCTATCTAATGTCTTCAATAACGACATTAATAAATATTGTAAGCTTAATTAAAGTGAATTGGTCTGAAATAGAAAAACTAGTTACTGTACCATAAAATTGTGTTATCACAATGGAAATACTTCTAAACCTGAAGTGAGTCTTATCTAACGTTCCATATTCCATGGATTGCTATTTATATCTATTATCTACTTACTGTGACTTTGAGAAAATTGAATGATACAATTTCTTTTAACTTCCGATACTTTTTGTCCTTTTTGTTATTTCTCTCACGATTTACTTTTTCATTGAGTCTGGTTTAGTATTATAAATTATATCTCGTTTTAATGGCATAGAAGCACATACCTGAGATTTCTGTTGAAATTCTAATAAAATTCACTAATAACACGCACATCCTAACTGATGGACACAATCGTTAAAAATTAAAACTCTGATCTGCTATCGTAATGGACCTTAATGGTCTACATGTGACTTTTTTTTGGTCTGCTAAGAATGAACCATTTGCTGAGCCCGTAAAGTGTAGATAGTTAAAATATCCACACATTTTATAATATTTATTTATTAATTAACTTAAACAAAAGGTCGATAATATTTACTAGTAATTAAAATATATAGGTTGAACGATCTCAACATATATGTTTTTTTTAAAGATGATTTAATAGAATGGGTCCTCTCTCGTTTATAATTACTCATATATCAAATACAGTGAGCGTAATTTACTTAGACGCACACAAAAAAAATGCTTTTTTTTTTGTTAAAGAGCAGAGCTATTGATCTTTTTACATTATTATTTTTTCTTTTCCATTACTAAACGTAAACAAACATAAAAGGAATGTGATTTTTATTTTGCAAAGTTATAACGGTGAATTTCATAAAAAAGAAGCTAAGTAAGTGCGCAATTTTTATAGACGCATATATTTGTTTCGGTAGTTCGGACTAGTTTATTTGATTGTTCTGTAAGAAGGTTTGTATTTCATAACACATTAATATTTGAGCTAATATTCTAAAAGCAAAAACCATACAAATTCTTTACGAAATAGGCTTCGCATTTGCGCAAGTCGAATGGCAAAGGGAAAATTTCTGAGCGTTGAAGAAAAAGCCAAAATAGGGTGTTTACATCAAAATGGATTCTCAAAGAGAAAAATTGCAAGCCACATAAACCGATCGGAACACGTTGTAAGAAATTTTTTACGTTTGGGTGAGGAATATGGTAAAGCCCCTACGAATAACAATCGAAATGCAAAGATAAATCGGCGACTCAAAAACCAAATAAAGGAAGAAGCAACAAAAAATCGGCTCAGTGCAGCTCAAATCGCAGCAAAATTGCAGCTACCAATTAAAAAAAGAAGAGTGTAACAAATTTTACATGCCGATGGCCACATAAAATGGAAGAAAATGATGAAACGGCCCCCTCTGAAAGAAATGCACAAGAAGAATCGCATTGTTTTTGCTAAAAATCATATGCCTTGGACCAAAGAATGGCACTCGGTTATTTTTTCGGACGAGAAAAAATTTAACTTGGACGGGCCAGACGGTTTCAGCTCTTACTGGCATGATCTTCGCCAAAACAATCCCATAAGAATGAGTAGAAACTTTGGAGGCGGATCTGTCATGATATGGGGTGGCTTTTCACTTCATGGAAAACTTACTTTGTGCTTCATAAATACAAGAATGAACTCAGAGAAGTACACTGAAATGCTGGATGACGTTCTTATAAAGTTTCTGGAGGAACACGCCGATCGGGATCTAATTTTCCAGCAGGATAAAGCCGCCATTCATGTGTCCAAGCTTTCAAAGTCTTACTTCTCGTCGAAGCAGATAACGGTAATGAATTGGCCAGCAAGGAGTCCTGACCTAAACCCCATTGAGAACCTATGGGGAATAATTTCACGGAAGGTCTATGCCAACGGACGTCAGTATTCCACAGTAAGTGAGCTCAAAGCATCAATCCAAGAGGCTTGGGACAAAATCGACGATGTGATTATCAAAAAATTGATAGATTCGATGCCAAATCGAATTTTTTCAGTTATAAACCAAAACGGAGGAATTACAAAGTATTAAGCATTGTCAAAACTGTGAAAACTCTTTGATTTCTTTTGTTTAAACATAGTGCGCCTAAGAAAATTGCGCGTTTATTTTGCCTTATTTTTGTGTTTTTGTACATATGTAAGAAGAATGACTGATATGAAATATATTTCTTTTTTGTTTTTTACTATCAAGCACTGCTTTTTCTTTTTCAACAAAAAAAACATTTATATTCCAGTTCGTTGCATCATTTTTGAAAAAATATTAAGTGCGTCTAAGTAAATTGCGCTCACTATATATCTAATTTGAAAAAGACAAGACTTTTTATTTGGTATTATACATTACCAAAGCGTTATAAGTATATTTCATATAAAATTCGATAATGAAATTCTGATGAATAATTTAATTCTACGTCGTTATGAAAGTACTTTTAATGGACAGATAATATACATACTACATAATGTTGATCTTAGAAATTAATTATCGTGCGTTTTGGTTGCTTCTATATAACGGGGTTTAATGAACGAATGGAACTAATATAGCTATGTATTTTTTTGGCTCATAAAAGGATTGTGAGATATGGTTCGAGTAGAGTTTTTTTTTTAGATTATAGAGTAGATAATTTAATAAGTCAAAGTTATAGAAGAATTAAACAAACATAAAACTTTTAATCGTTTTGTAGAATGTGATGATTTCTTAATTATGCATAATTCAGTTTTAATTCATTACTTAATTACAATAAAACCAAACCTCACAGATTTTAGCAATAAATACCTTTAAATAGTTTTCATAATTTATTTCTAAGCTTAAATATACATATAATATATAATACAATATCTCTCTTCAAGTCTATCTTTCAGTTACAATATGTTTATTTAATAAACAATATACTTACATTAGTATATGTGGGTATTCTTATAATAAAAGTTTAGATAGTTTTAGTTTCTTATTGTATGGTATTATTATTATTTCTATTACATGTACTTGTAACTTACCTCTGCTATCAATTGTCATTTCTTCTTTCGTTTCAGTACAATCACCTGAAATTAAATAAAAATTATAATAATTAATTGAAACACTTTTAACTAAATTAGATTTTACTTATAGCTCAGATTTTAATAGACTAAATTAGACTTTAAGATCTGTATATTACGAAATATATTGGAGGCAATTAGATTTCACAATGGGTTATCAATTTTGTGCTTCGGACTTAGCTGTACTGTTTCAATGACATTAGCATTTGTAAACAATGTATTTTATATGTATAATTTCGCCATTTTATTATGTTGAGCCTTTTCCGAGTTAGAGCATCTGGGCACTTTTACTCTATGATGGCTGGGGGTTACTGCAGAGTCTAATTTGAGTGTTCCTCATAATCTTCGTGATTATTCAATGATTGATCTAACCATTTTACAACATGGATCGTTTAACAAGTGCTGAACGTGTTAAAGTAATGATTATGTAGTAGTCACATTTAACACTTAGCTTTTCTTAATGAATAAGTAACTGTCGAAAGAGCATTTTATTCCTAAAAAGTCTATTTATCTATATGGTATGGCAGTAATCTCGAGGTGTGATAAGGCTATACTTTTTTGAAAGTGATGATGGTATGGCTTAATACAATCCTATGTATGACATATTATCTAGAGGTATGAATAGCTAGTATATTCTTGTAAAAAAAACATGAAAGTGTTGCACAAGCTGTAAGTTGTGATCGGTTATATCATATAATTATCAATTTTCTTAGGGTGAAATTGAAGATACGGATATGGAAAATATGAGATTTCAACAAGTTGACACTAAAAGTCATCACACAAAATGTCCTGTTTTGGATTTATTGTTCGAAATAACTTTCAAAAGTATTATTTCACGTTTTCATAAAGGTCATCCGATTTATCACTATTAAAAATATTCTTTTATGCTTGTATTTTGACAGGTTTGAAGCCTGGTACTTGACTCTCAAATAAATTATATACGAACTATAAACTAATTTAAAAAAAATAATTCGAATATTTCCTAAGACCACTGCCCTGTCTTACAAGGGCAGGTTCTGCCACTCAAATCTGTGGACCGGAACCCTATTGTGGATTAAGTTGGTCTACAACTAGGTATCTAATTGATAAATGGATCTTAACCGAGAGAGGTCGCTACTGGCGCGACAATCGAGATAACCGTTAGGCTAAACAGCTGGTTCACCCATATAGTAATGGTAAGGCATCCCTCCCTAGCAGATCAGATTTGAGATTGCTGGTGGGATATTTAACGGGTCACCATAGACTGCGTTACCACCTTAATAAAATGGGTCTGTCCAAGGAGACAGAGTGTCGAGTCTGCTTAGAAGCAGACGAGACTACAAGTCACATTCTCTGTGACTGCCCAACCTTGATCTGGGCAAGGAGGAGGTCACTGGGAGGAGAGCTGCTCTTTCCTTCTGACATTACGAGGTCCTCAACGGACGGCATTCTGGGTTTAATTCGAAAAGCGGAATGTCTTCTGTTCGGTTAGGGTCAGTTGCAGCACAAAAGATCAATCTGGTCGCAGTGCTCTGCTCCGTTGGGAGCTAGTACCCCGTTTATTTCTATTCTAAGACCACTGATGATGAGTACTTGGCAATATTTGGAACAGCGTTGTATGGTCAGTCAAATTTAAATAATTTAACTGAAATTTTTGTTGTTGTCTTTTCATTTCCATTTAAACTCTTCTTACTATTAAATAGTTTTTTTTCGTCATAGGACGCGTGACATTCGGCAAAAAAAATTAACATTAGAAAAACATTTTGTTTTGTGGGATTACGCATAGAATTGAAGATATTATTCTCAAATAAAAGTATCTTGGACATATCTTGAGTGTACATTTTATTTATGATGTTACACAAAGGATCGTGTTTATCCTTAAATTATAGATAGGATGGCTTTGAACCATTTTGTTTATAGTTGAGATATTGCCAACTATGTGGTGTCAAGTTGTCGAAAATTACCTCAAAATGTGCTAGTACTATATAATGATCCGCAGAAAACATTTGAATGCTGTAGTGTTTTACTTCTTATGGCAGATTCTTAGCAAGATATTGAAATGAAAATTTATCTAGTACTATATGGCAACCTATGAAATACATTTGAATGATGTAGTTTTCAACTCTTAATGGCAGACTTTAACTATATATTTAAATAAAAATGATATGATGATTCACAGAGTTTATTTGAATGTTGTGGTGCTACACTTCCAATCGCAGAGTCTTAACAATATATTAAAATAAATATTTAATCGAATTTTTGAATGCAAATGTGCTACATTTATCTTTTTTTTTTGAAGTTCAAAAGGTTATTGATCAAATAATATCTATGTTATATATTTAAAAATGTCTTGATATTAATTAATGTCAGAGATATATTAAAACCTTTGTAAAATAAAAAAAATAAATATTTATATATAATTTTAATTAATGCAATATTTTTTTTATAATAATAAAAGAAACTATTGAATTGAATACTATATTCTAAGTATAGAGAATTATGTTAATTATGTTTGTCAACATTTAGCATCCACGTCAGTATTTTCTGATTAATTTTGATGAACCAAAGAGTATTATTTAAACGCAATTGAAAAATTAGTTTACAAATTACAAAAAATTATCAAAATTAATAAAATTATTAAATACTTTGAATATCGAATTAACGTAAAAATGCACAAAAAATTATAGAAGTACTTAGTTAGCTTTTAATTTCATCCGAACTTTCTTCTCTATATACGGTTAAATAATATATGAGTTCACTTTCAATAATTATTATTCGGTAATTATTGTGATATTTATATATCGAAATAGTATTATTTTTTAAGTCAGCAATATTATCATATTTCAAAAGAGCATTCAACTGCCAGTACGATCAGATCTCTTTAAAAAATATCTGTGAGCATGTGTTTGATTAGAGAGCAAAAGACTTAGAAAGTTAGCTTTTAACAGTAAGAATCTCTAACAGAGAAGTGTTGCCAAAGTATCTCATTTTAACTGCCTTCTTGTTATTATGGATTCAACTTACAGTCGGTTTCGTTAAAGCTGAAGTCGTTGCTTTGCAATCAGACTGTAAAAGCTGTGAAGTCAAAGTCGTGATTGTACTTTTACCTTTACACCCATAATGTGACTGTATGCGATGGAGTGTTGTAAGTAGACTTCGATAAAACTTCACACTACGTACTATGCAATATTTTCCTCTGTGGGATTGGAAGTGTGAATCATTTTATTCTCATACTCCTAGTTTGGTGTTTTTAGTGGAGAATAAAAGAAAAAAAACACCGCTGGAGAAAGACAAAAATATTTGCAAAAAGTTGCCTTAGAGAAGACATTGTAATCCAGATAATTTATTTTTATCTATAGTTCTATTTCATTTAAACTTTGAGTAATTTTTTGTTTGTCTTCTGGGTTTTACTAAATTCTATTTTATGAATTATAAATAAATTTCCTGTGATTAGAATCTAATATATGTACAATATACATCTCTTCATGTCGTTATATGTCGTTAATTTATTTCTCTAATCTATTAAATCCGGTTCGATAGATTATTTTCTAAAATGTTACTTGTTGATAACGAATGTCTTACAAATATTATATATAAAAGTGAGAGTTAAGTTATCATCTTCATGTGATGTGTACTCGTTCATGTTTATTAATATTACAAAAATTAAAAAATTAATTTTTTAATATATTTACATAAGTCAACCAACTGCAATACAAAATTCTAGAAAAATATGTACATCGAAAGTGAAAATTGATAATGTGTTTTTTGTACGGTTTCAATTATGTATCGATATTTAGACAATGAACTTACTAAGTTATATTATTTTATTTAATAATAACATTTAATATTTCTTTGGAATTTTTAATTTTTTTATTGTAGATTGTTATTCAACAATATGTAAATGCACTTATTTCTCATATATGTGTTCATTTTTATAGCAAAAATAAAAATCTTGCCTTTAAGATTTTTTAAAACATTTATTAAAAAGTTTGGGTCAACTGAAAAATAAGTACCCTTCACACAAAATTATAAAGAATTAAAAGTTCTTCTTGCATTACAGTTTTCTACAAACCAAAATATACCATATAGGTATATACCTATGGTACTTCTATTACATATGGTAAATATATAATATTAATAATAAAAATTGGTATTAGCTATTTAATTAAAAGCACACAATCAGAAGTAATTGTGAATAAGATTTGATTTTAAAACTCATTTGTATTGGAATATCTCAAGAACTAGTCTTATGAACACTTGATTAAAATAAATGTAATTTTTTTAATATGTAGTTAAGCAATTAATATCTTATGTGATATGTAATCCCGATTGTATGGATTGAGAGAAAAGCAATTCTAGATTAGAAGCGAATCTGATCTCGTGATTAGATCTTCGATCCATTAAGTTCTGCACTCGAGTCAATTTTATTACACAGACAGTCAAGTAGCAATAAACACATTGGGTTCTTGAAACTTTACTTTAAGAATTTTAGTAGACTGCTATGATATGCCACAGAAGCTGAAAAGCAAAAACAGGATGGTCGTTTGCTACATTGCTAGTTACACAGAAAACTATGGCAATGACGTCGAAAATAATCTCACAAGGACTGGATCAGTCATACAATTTTATACACAATATTATCATTATTAAATTAGTGGACCAACAATGAGGTCTCGCATAGAAAAATGGTTTGTAATTAAAAGAATAGCCTGGAGTGAAGAAACTCCTTAGTAGCACAGAGTTGAGGTTGTTGGGAACATCTGCCAGGCATGCATTATCTTAACAAGATGGATTTTTTTAAGGAAATCAAAAGTCGAGTCTGAATGCCTTTGAATACTTACTTAGATACGGCTGAGAACTCTAGTCAAATTCTTTATTAGTCTACGGCTTTGTTCTATGCCAAGAGTTTTAAATATAAAAACTTATACTTCAGTATCATTCAGTTTTGAATGAAGGAATATATATAGCAACTTGTAATACTTTGCATATTGCATTTAGTGAAAATATAATAAAATAATTATAATATA